CCCTGGTGCAACCATCACAAAGCAAGAGACCCGAGAACTAGAAAGGCGAAGCTCACTGAGCCATTTATCCCTCTGCCCTTCAATTAATCCCGCACGTGTTCATCTGCCAGGTTGGCACAATAAACTAACAAACTCAAAAGGGCATCTGCATAAGGGGGCATTGAGAGGAGGTGGGGTGGCTTCGTGGCGGATTTCAGCATGTATCCGGTGGTTCTCAAGCTTGGTTAGGACTGTGAGGCAGCAGAGGCAGGTAGTCGCTGGGCATCTTGGTGGATCTCATCAGGAGGAGGAAGGATGGAAGTAGGGCTGCGAGCCTTGTGGGTAAGAAGCGGCAGTCACTGGTGTCTGTCTGTTTGCATTCACAGTGTCCTTGTCTCTATCTTGGGTCAGACATGGTCACAGCGTGGCCTTGTCTGATCACTGTTTATGTCCTGTGGCCCTTGTTTATGTTCAGTGGAGAACACCGCAGTCCAGCTGCCGGCTGTGTGTCACTGCCCACTGGGCGTCGATCGGCTCTCCACCTCCAGGTAAAGTTGTCCCACGTCCTTCCCAGTCCTGGCCCAGGATGCAACCATCTAGGATGGCCCCAGTGAGGCCACATCTGGGTGGGTGCCCAGACACAGAGGGACGTGTTCAGGGGAATTGTCCCCAGGTCCTGGAGGACTCCCCGCCGAAAAGAAAAACGTGGGACGTGGGACGGGGTGGTGGTGGTGATGCAAAGGTGAAGATTATCGGGGCCTTGGCCACAATTCTGCATATTGCAAGCCTTCAAGAGGCCCTGTGTTTGGTGTGGGTCTTTTACTTGTTTTTGACCAAGGAGAGACTCGAGTAAAAACAAGCGAGAGAAGAGAGCCAACTCAAACCGACCCTAAAGGGCAGAGTAGAGCTGCCCTCTGAGTTTCTGAGACTATAGCTCTTGGCATGGGTAGAGAAAGCCTTCTTTTTCTCATGGAGGGCCTGGTGGGTTTGAACGGCTCACCTTGTGGTTAGCAGCCCCACACTGTACTCATCATGCCACCAGGGTGTCTTCA